GTTTCAGGCGTCATCCACAGCGGCAAGCGGCGGGCTTTCTGTATTTGCAGCGGTGTCAGCACAAACGCCTGCGCCGCGAAGTCGGTCGCCGGCGCCAGCGCGTAGGCGCGGCGCGGGTCAATGCTCTGCCGTTTGGCGACCCGTGTCACACGCTCGACGCCGACGCGGCTTGCCAGCCGATTGATCAGGAGCGCAAGCGCGTGCGGATCGTCGCGCCGCTCACAGTCAAAAAGCGTCTGCTGCCGGCTGTCGATCGGCGCTGTAGCGCCCACCAGTACGCGGACCGCTCGCACGGCATGGGGGAAGCGAACGCCATCGAGATGCAACGTGGCGAGTTCAGCAAGCTCTCGCGCCGACGCGGTTGGCCGGAAGAGCCGCAGCACCACCCGCACCGGCGCTGAGCCGTCGCCATCGAGGAGATGCTCGATCAACACCCGCAGCGCTCCGCAGCGGCGGCGTTTCATCTGCTCAGCGACGCGCGAAAGCAGCTCCTGCCGGACGCGCTGCAAACTTTCCGCGCAAGCCACCGCCGACTCAAACTCCCAGAGCGCTAGAAGCGGGGGCTCGCCGCGGAAGGATTCCACCGGCTCTGGCGCGTCGCCCAGCATCTGATCGAGTCGCCGTGCTAGTACGGCGCCGAACCGCGACGGCAGGCTCGCCCGCGGCAAATCCAAGAGCTGGCCGATGGATTGCACGCCGAGTCGGTGAAGGCCTTCGATCGACCTTACGTCGATGCGGAGCGCTTCGACCGGCATCTGCGCAGCAAAGGCGGGGGCATTGTCACCACTCAGTAGAACAGGGCCCGCCTCCCGCGACACATACCGAGCGGCGGCGAGCGCAAGGCCGATCGTCGGCGCTAGCGCAACGGCCACGTCGAAGCGTTGCGCCAGCGCCCAACCAAGGACGGCTGCGGTCAGTCGCCGCTCACCATCTTCTCCCCACAGCAGCGCGAGGCCGGTTACATCAAACAGTAAAGACTCAGGCTCGTCGGTGTCCTCTAGCGCGACTGCTGGGCTGAAACGCTCGCCTTCCGCTGCTAGCCGCTCTAGCGCCCGTCGATCAGCGCCGGGCGAGTGGGGCGCGAGCACCAAGCGCCCGGGCCCGGCCAATCCTTGCGCGTCAGGAGTCTTCATGCCGACTGCTATGCCCAGGCGTCTGGCCTCTGCCGAGCAGGCGGCGACCCGTTCACTGCGTGCGTCGCCAACGCAGAGCGCCAGCGGCTTGCCGACCAGCTCGGACCGATCACGCCGGCTTCGCTGCACGGGCCAGTCGGGGAGCCACAGACAAAGGGTTCGGGACGCTAGGGGCATCGGGGTGGGTCACGTCGTGGATGTCGCCGGTTCGCCAGTTAAGTGAGAGCGTCGCCACACCGCCGGCGGGGCCGTGGCGGTTGCGGCGTAGGGTGGCCCGCACGAGAAGCGGCGCGTCGGGATCGCCCGGCGCTGCGATCGGCTCAAGACAGAACTGCGCGTCGGCCCAGCTCGGGTCGATTTCGTGACGGCCGTGTCGGACCAAAGTGCCGAAAGCGATTCCGGCTTCGGCCGCCAGCAATAGGCGGCGGTAAGCGCGGCCATCGATCTTGCCGAGCGAGGCCCATACGGCGCTCACGGCTGGCGAGCGCAAAGCTATCTCTGTGGCGGCGAGGGCATGTCGTTGCGAAGTCGGGCGAACCAACAGCAGTCTCTTCGCATCGACGCCCCAAACGATCGCCGCCGGCGGATAGAAGGCCCCTTCGGGGTCGATGACCACCAGCTCGCCGTGCCGCTGGGCGGCCTGTGCCGCCAGCCAGAGGCCGACGACGGACGCGCCGCTACCGGGCCGGCATTCGAGAAGGTCAACGAGGCGTTTCGGCCGAACACCGCCAAAAAGGCTCTGGAACGGGGAGAGTGGCGGAGACGGGGCGTCTCCAGAGTGGGCAGACAAAGTGGCGCCGGCCAGTTGGTGACGGAGCAGCTCTAGCCGCGTCGTGCGGTCGCTACCGCCGGGGAGAGGGGGTAAGCCGGTGCTAGCATGGCCGTCGGTCATGCGGCCAGGGTAGCAGTGTACGGGCGTTCACTCAACCGTAGTCGGCGAATTACCATCTAGGAACAATCCGCCAGCCCGAGACCCCAAGTGGAGGCGTATGGCCCGACATGACGGCCAATAACGGGCAAGGCCAGTACAGCCTTGCCCGTGTGGCGTCACCACCACGAGTCGTAGTAGACGGCGTACCCTTGGGCGATCGCCAGACGGGCCGCGGCGATGAACGCGAGGTCGTCGGCGGTTTCCGAGCCATCGCTCTCGCCGAAGAAGAAGCCGCCGGTCACCGGCAGCTCCCCGCCGAGCACGTCTTGTTCGAGTCGCAGAAGGTCCTCGGTCGTGAGGACCACCGGCACGCAGTTGAACTCGTGCTGGCCGCCTTTCTCGTAGTACAGCGACTGCATCCAGCCGTGCAGATTGGCGTGTTTGCGCCAGTAGTGAAGCTCTAAGGCCGTAGCGACGCTGAAGTCAACCGGCGAGTCGATCGTGTCCAGGGTCTTGTAAGCGTACATGTCGAGTCCCATCAGGTGGTCCTCCCATTCGCTGGGCGTGCGGCGGTGAAGCCTCTGGCGTGAAGTTGCAAGGCGGGTGTCATCGTTATCTCCTTGGTTGGGGTTTGAAGTCGGGGAGCGATTTTTTCGCCCCTCACCAACCGGATACGGGGCAAAAAATCTCGACCCGACTTCGGGGGACCCAGTCCATCAAGCGGAGAGAACGAGCATCGCCCCTAAGCGACTTGAACAACCACATCGCTCCACTCGTCGGTTCACGGGGAGCAGAAAAGGCTTCTCATCCCACGCCGGCGGTGGCATAGTCGAAGGGAAATAGGCAAGGAGGCGCTCATGAAACGGACCAACAGCTCAACCCTCTCAAGGCGGCGACTTTTGCTCGCTGCGGCCTGGGCGACCCTCGCGATCCCCACTATCGCCGCCGCCCAAGAGAGCGAGCCCGGCGACGCCTGCGCGGGAACCGCGGCAGGGACGGTGCGGCAATCGAGCGGCCCAGAGATCAGTGGCGGCCACCTGCTGTATTGCGATGGCGCGAGCTGGGTTAGCATCCTTAGCTATGATGAGGACGCCCACCTAACGACGCTCGGCGCAGAGGACTGCGACGCCGGCGAGGTGCTATCCCACAACGGAACGTATTGGGCTTGTACGGCCGCTGCTTCGCTGTCGAGCCTCTGGACCGCGGGTGCAGGCGACACGATCTACTATAATTCCGGCACGCCGAAGGTGGGAATAGGGACGCCAAGTCCGCAGAAACAACTAAGCGTCATTTCAGCCGGTGGTCTTCAGTTTCACGCGGGCCCCAGCAACTTCACCGGCTTTGAAGTCAACACAACCGATTCGACGTTTGCTCGACTGGTTACCGCTTACGGCAGGGGAATCAAATCGCATAACAACGGACAAGATATTGGTATTGAACTTGATGCTGTGAGCGATGATGCGTTCTCTTACAGCACGGCGCGGCTGGGCGTAACGTCTATAAAGGTAGGCGCAACAAAGGTGATATCGATACCGCAGTCTGGTGGCAACGCAAACTTCGTCGGCATCGGCACCACCTCGCCAGACACCAAACTCGACGTAGCAGGTAACGTGAGCGCGGAGCAGTACTGCGATGAGGATGGGAACAACTGCTTCGAGGCAACCGATGTCGCCGCCTCGTCCGGCCTCTGGCAGAAGGGCGCGGGCGACATTGTCTACTACAATTCCGGCGCGCCGAAGGTGGGGGTGGGACTGAACAATCCCACGGGCATGATCCAGGCCGAGTCGACCGTTGGCGGTACTGATCCGCTGATCCTGACAGATTCCGCCAATGGAAACGCAAGATTCTATTTCACTACACCGNNTATCAACTCGGGATCGGGAAGAGTAATTTTCCCCGGCCATGCCATTCTGTCTGATCTTGTAGCTTCGAGAACTGGAAGCACGACTGTTGATTTGGAGTCGGCATTCTTGGCGAAATCAGCTGACATTAGACTTATGACGCGCAATGATAACACTACTGTGTTTTCGGGTGGAAGCCATGAAGACACCATCATTAAACCTTACGACGCTGCCAAGTCCGTGATTATCAAAGCGGACGAGCCCGCAATGAGTGTTCCGCTTTTGGAATTGCAGGACAGTGCTGGGAATCTTCTGGTAGTTGTTGAAGACACAGGCAATGTTTCAATCGGGCCAATAACGCCTGACGTCGCGCTCGATGTCGATGGCGACATCGACTACACCGGCGTCATCCGTGATGTTTCCGACGCGAGGCTAAAGTCAGACATCGAAAGCCTATCGGCGGACGCCGCCGCAGCAATTGGCCAACTGAAACCTGTCTCGTTCACGATGAAGAATGGTGACGGATGGCGTGAACTGGGCTTCATCGCACAGGACGTGGAGGAGGTGCTGCCCGAGCTGGTTCGTACGGGCGCCGACGGGATGAAATCTCTCAATTATGTCGGACTGATCGCCCCACTAACGGCGGCGGTGCAGGAGCTGCAGCAAGAAAACGACGACCTCCGCAGACGACTTGATCAGATAGAGAAGGCGTTTCCGCCCTCGCCGGAGGAATGATCGGCGCGGCCTCCGGCGGGGGCGCGTTCGCCCGTGATCCCGATGAGCGGACCTCCCAGATGTCTCGCCTGTTCTTGATCGCTGTCGGTGCCAATCCCGTGACACACACCATGCCCCGTTCCGGCAATTCCGCCCCTAGGTGCATCGGGACGACAGTGCAGGAGGACCCTAAGTCATCTCCACTGGAAGCTCTGCATTGTTCCGCACTCCCAGCTGGCCGTTTAAATTCAGGCGACCGTGTCGCGGTTCGTCCGACCGACTAGGCAACCCTTCGCAAAGGACAGGACGACTTCCGCGAGCCTTGTTCATGTAACTTGCGGCTAAGCTGTTCCTGCCGCCCACTTCAGGATCGCTTCTCTTACCGTCGCCTGGGGAAGAAACTCTTGCTCAAGACGTCCTCTCGGTTCGTCGAGAAGCCGAAGGTAGAGGGCTCGTTCGGCGTTGCTCAGACATTGCGGCGGCTCGAATCCAGCACTGACGCGCTCTGGCACCGCCGAGTCTTGGAAACGTGTGTAGATTTCTGACGACATCAATAGCGTCTCCATCTCGCCAATTGCCTCCCTTGCTTTGGCTAGGTACTGAAGTCCCCAAGTATCGATGTCGCCCCAATACGCCACTCTTTTCGTCGCGATCCAAGGCGCTGACGTCCAGCCGAGATCAAACCCCGCGCCCATTACTGCAATCGTCCCAGGGATCGATGTCAGGATGTGTTGGCAACTCTCGTTCTCGATGATCAACAGCCCCCAACCAGGAAGCATCCGTTCACGAAGCTCAGAACTGCGAACTCGCAGCTTGCGAAAGGGAAGCAGGCCTCCGTCGAGATCCATGACGAGCAGCCAGTGGTCCCCTTCCGCTAGGGCGCCGACAAACGCCTCGAGCCCAATCTTTCCTGCTTCGCCATCAAACCGCACATCCAGCAGGGTCGTGATGAGACCGGCATGGCGTTCAAAAAACTTCGTATCGATCCCTTCGATTGAAACCGCCCTTAACGGCCTTCCGTCCGCGAAGCCGGGCTCCAGCGCCAGGGCCAACCGCGTCGCCTGGATGACTTCGTCGAGTGGTTTGCCCCGCCACAAGGAACGCCGCCGGACAAGCAGCGGATGAAAGACCGGGTTCGTTGTTTCCGCAAGCTTAGTTAGGCACCCGAATTCCTGCTTCAAGGCGGCGTCGCCGCAAGCCTCTACCCAATCGCTCGGCCTTCGCAGCCGCCAAGTCACGGGCATGTCAACGGCCGCATGCGCTGCGCGATAGCGAACTGGTTCCCACAGCACCTCACCACACTTCACTTGCCTCCACGCGGTGATATGCCGCTTGACGGTGTCCAGGTCGGCGCTGAGAACCTTTGGCGAAGGGCGCCCAATCGACACGTCAACCGGCCACGCCAAGTCGGCCGCGAGCAGGCGTTCCTCTCTCAGCGTCGGCTTTTCCCACTGACGTCGGAGTTTGAGCTTTAGTTCGGCGGGCGATTTCATTGCTGGCGGGAGAGCTCCTCCAGTCGTTCCCAGGATATCGAAGCCAAGCCGGCTTCCTTGACAGGACGCTGGACGCAAATGACACGGCGCGTGTGTTGCTTCAGAAGCCCAATCTCTTTATTGGGCGTGACGAAGATAGGATGGAGCGAGAAGATTCTCAACGCCTCGATGATACGACTAGCGGCCGAAGGCGAACTTTTGGAGAACGCTTCGTCGAGGATGACGGTGCCGTACAAGGGGCGACTGGCCCCGGCAGGGCAGAGCGCGTAGCTGAGTGACGCGGTCAGAATATGGCTGGCCATTAGCTCCTTCTCGCCGCCACTGCCGCTCTGCGATCCCGTCCGGGGCGCGGACTCGCTGCCGGTCTGCCGATCCACTTCGACGACAAAGAACTGCAATCGATACCGAGGGTCGAGCAACGCACTGGACGCCTGCTTCCGGGGGTTGCTGCCCGCCTCGCGCAGGATCTCGACGAGCTCCTTCAATGCCTTGAAATGGCCCTCGCCGTCGTCGTCTCTAAGTGCGGCGCTACGCACTTTGCGGATCGCTGCCTCCAGCGCTCGCAGACGCTCGTGTTTAATTCGCTGCGCCTGCAGTTGCAGGTAGCGTCCTTGCTTGAAGTCGACCCGCGCAAGGGTGTGGTTCAGTTCACCGATGCGGGTTTCGATAGCGCTGACCTCTTCGGCAATTCCCGCTAAGAGCTGCGTAACGCCCTGATCGGACGAGCGATTGAGGTACTCGAGGAAGCGACTGCGCTTCTCGGGCAAGGCTTCGTCGGTAAGCACACGCAAGCGTTCGAGGAAATAAGGAACATCTGCGATGTCGGCCCCTACTTCGGCTAGTGCGCCCGTGTCCAGGTGGCGGGCCTTTACCAGCAGTTGGATGAGATGCTTCTCAATGCCGCCGATACGCTGTCTCACTAGGTTCTCTTTCGACTCGTAGGCTTCGCGAGTATCCTGTTCAACGTCCGCCAGTTGCGTCAGCGAAAGATTGTCGGTAGGCGACACCTGCTTGGCGACGAAGGCCGTGTCTTCCTCCGACAGACCCGGCCCCATGCGGCGCTCCGCCCTGATGAGCTCCCCGTCGGCTGTTTGGCGTTGTTGGTCAAGTATGGCGATCTCCTTCTCCGTTTCGCTTGAGCAGTTTCGCGCGGTAGCTAGTTCAGATTTCGCTGAGGCATAGGCGGCCTCTGCTTGGGCGGCGTCGGAGAGTGGGTTCTTTAGCGCTGCAAGGCGCTCTTGCGAACCTGACACATCCGCCTCGGCCGCGGGAAGATCGATGTCTTCAAACTCGATCTCCAATAGACGAGAGATCCTCCCCAATCGTTCGTCTAGTTGCGTGAGTTCTTGGCTGAGACGCGCCGATTCGGC